AAAATTCATCATTCGATTCGAAAACGACATCGAGGAAACGATTACATGTCACGGACGGCGGGGAAGAGGGAACAGGCGCGCCCGGAGGCGTAGTAGATGTACACGAATCGGCAAAAGCTCCCTTCGCAACCAACGGAACGTCAAAAACCCCCCACTCCTGCTCCGGGATGCCGAGCGAGTGGGCGGCGGATGGGCGCATGATGGCGGCTACCTGTGAACCCGTGTCAATGAGACAGTTCAGCGGGACGCGGCCAGAGGTAGCAGAGTGACGAGAGCGGGCATGGGCGAGAAGAGGAGCGAGCAGAGGCCGAGAGGTGAGCGGAGACGAGAGCGACGAGTCCGCGCGGTGGGAAACGGCACGGCGGAAACCGACGCCAGAGGCGACGGCAGCGCAGACAATAGCGTCGGACAGCAGGCCCGACACCTGAGCGTCGCGGAAACGGCGGGAGACACAGAGCGAGTCCAAATCGAGCGCAGGGGGATGCGAGACTCGAGGAAGGACGTACTCGTCAATAGTCATGGCGGCTTCGAAATCCGAGTCCGGGTCCGAGTCCTGACCAAGGTAGGCGGACTCGTACGCGGCCTCCTCGGCGTCGAGGAACGCGGCAGTCTCCTCGGCGAGTTCGAACTCGATGGACGCGGTGGTAGCGCCGACGGCCGGAAGACCGCCGGCGGGAATGCGGACAGCGGGGAGGTCGGGGTTGGTGACCAGGAGAGCGGCGTGGACACGGCGGACATAAGCCAGGTCGATGGTGGGGTGGTCGGCGGCCGGGCGCGACGTGCAGCCCTGGAAGTTGTGGCCGGAGACGAAGAAGATCTGGCGGCACTTGAGGCAGCCATTGTTGGCCATGAGCAGCTGGCGCCCCTCCTCCGTGAGCTTGCGGGGGTGGAGACGGGTGGCGCCGGAGCCAGAGGAGGAGGGAGCGGTGTCCGAGGAGGAAGCAGCGGCGGCAGAGCCCTTGGATGAGCGGGGCTTGGCGCTGGAGATGCGTGAGTACAAGTCGAGGCGCTCCGCGCGCTTCTTTTCCTTGCGAGCGGCGATGTCGCCGACCATGGCGCAGACGAGCCACGGAGGGGACGGAATGACACCTGTGGCCAGGGGAGGTGGCGGGGAGGTGCCAGCGGTGGTAGCGGCGAGAGTGCGGGCGGCGTGGCCCGCAGCCCGGGTCTGGAGGAATAACTTGTAGCGGGACTCGGCGATGGGGAGGTCCACGGGGACGTAGGGATGCTTGGTCAGCCCGTGGTACTCGATAGTGGCGAGGATGGAGTCGCTGGTGCCCAGCGTGACCGACTCGAGGAAGCGGTCAGGGGAGAAAGAACCGAGGTCGGAGAAGGCGAGCATGCGGTTGTGATGCTCGAGACCCTGGAACCATTCCTTGTAGGGCCGGTTGCCCTGCTTGGCGTGGACAATGGCGAGGCGGTGGACCTTGTCCCACTGGTGCTCGAGGACGTTGTTGTGAATGGTGGAGACGAAGGTGGACCAGGGAAGGTCGATCAAGAAGTCGCCCATGGAATCCTTGAGGGCGCGAAGCTGGAAGTTGACCGAGAAGGAGTCAAGCGCAGCCTGGACCTTGTCGCGGTCGGAGGTGATGCGCTTGTCGTGGACGAAAGTATGAGACTCGGCGCGAGAGAACATGGCGTGCAGAAGGGGCACGTTCAGCCCGCCGGCCCCGGCGATAGGGAAACCCTTGGGGCCGAGCTGATAGACTTCGGCGATCGAGCCAACAGCCGGGAAGAACACGTCTTTGGTGAGCGAGGACATGTCGTGAGAAGAAGAGTCAGACGAGAACGAGGCGGAAGAGGCAGAAGAGGACGAGCGAGAACGGGCGGGGAGGCGAGACGACGAGCGGGGGCTCGGCGGCAGAGGAACGGCGGACGGCGGGACGCGAACAGAAGTGGGCGGCAAGGAAACGGAAGCAGGCGCGCAGGGCGCCGGGCTTAAGGGCTCGTCGGGCACCGGCGACGTATGACGCAACGCAGGCGAAGAGGCGGAGCTGCTGTCAGGAGGCGGCCCCGGGGATGGATGCGAGCGAGGCGGAGTGACAGGCGCCGAGGCGGCGAGCGGGAACACGACAGACGGGCGCGAATCCGAAGAGACCGGAACCGACCGGACAGAGAGCGCCGGCGACGGAGAGCGCGAGGCCGCGCGCGAAGGCGCGCGCGAGGGCCCGCCGAGAGCAGAGGCGAGCGCGTCCGCGGAGAACGGCAAGGTGAAAGCGGGAGCCACCGCGGAGAGAGCGGCGGTGGACGGTGAGAGGGACGAGGGCGCCGACAAGTCGGACCAGCCGGCAAAGGGGCTGAGCAGACCGCCAGCGGAGGACACGGCGGGGGCGGGGATCCGGAGGGAAAGACCGGCGGAGGCGGCGCGCGAGTGCGACGCGGAGGACGCGGGCGCGCGCGCGCGAGCGGCGGAGCGAGGACGGGAGGGGCCGGCCGCGGCATCAGCGGTCGCACGACGTGAGCGGTTGGCGGTGTCGCGGAGGCGGTACGGCGGCGGGGACGGGGGAGAGGCGGACATGGCGGCGGCGAGGCGCAGGCGGGACCGCCGGCGCCGAACAAGGCAAAGCGAGTTTAAAAAAAAGTGTAGAGCAGCCCGTAACAGGGGCGCTCGCACTAAGGTTCACGCGAGGAACTAAACAAGATTCGTCTGTATTGTTTAGAGG